TTCAACTGGCTTTCACTCTTTGATGAAAGAATGTTAAATAAATAGTTCATATAGGTTCTCATCTAATTGTTTTATGCTACACTGGATGGGGAAAATGCACCACCCATGTCTAGCTCTAATAGCAACAGAGCATATTATAACTTATCAATTTAGTATTGTCAGAAAGTATAGAAAATTAATGACACAATTTACTTTTCCACAAATTTACTCATTAATTTATTTAATTCACCTAATTCAACATAGCACCGACTATGTTATAATTATGCTGAGGGATGATAAATGGAAAAGGGAATTTAATAACACTATGGTGTGATTTAGGATGTACAAAAGAATAGGGCTGGCACAAAGAGAGGAGTGTTCAATCCCTCCTGGAGATCAGAGACTGTCTTGACAGACAAGGAAAGAGCTGAGCTTCAGCTTATAGAATAAATGAGAGTTCTCTAGCTAAACATGGTAGAAAAAGCGAAGAGATCATGTACTAAGGCAAAGAAATGGAGAAGAAAAAAGAAATTGACACTGGCTAGTTGAATTGGTGACAAATGGCAATCTTAGAATGCTGGATGAAATGTCACACACACACACACACACACACACACACACACACACACACAAGTTGGAGGAACTCAAAAGCTGGAAAGAAAATCTCCTAGATTTGGGGAAAAAAAATCTCAAAAAGCTAGAATCCTCTTTCCTCTCTTGGGAACATGAAGGACTGAATCTATGAATCCTCCCACCCTCATCAGCCTGCTCCCCGCCACCAACCATGCACACACACCAGATGTGTGCAGTCTAGAGTCTAACATGTACTCAGGCACATTAGATACAGCCTCCAGCTGTCAGCTGGAACTAACTCAGTCAAAAAGCTGGAATCCCCAAAGGGCAGCACTGGCTATGAAATGAGAAACAACAAAAACAACCAATATCCCTTTGAACACTAGCTCAAGAAAGCAACAAAGAAGCACACAGAAGCTGCTCTGGGTGGAAGGGAAGGGGAGAAGAAAAGCTGATCTGATCAAAAATTATAATCAATACTCAGAAATGAATTTCTAAGGCTAAGAGTCATAGAATGGAATTAGTATGATAGTCTACTAGATTAACCATGGTAATAGATAACATAGTTAACATCATGCTCATAGATGATAGAATAATCTGAATGAAACTTAAAAAAAAAGTGCTTACAATGATTAAAGGAATAAAAGAATAGGAAGCATAATGTAAAAACAGGGTACCTTGGGAAAAGTTTTCTTAAGACCTTTAAAATATAGCAATAGCCTTTTAGAAATGAGAATTTTAATTAATAAAATGAATAGCTTAAACAATTGACAGTAAAATTGGTAAAATATATAATAAATCTAAGGAAACCTCTGCAAATACAGCATATAAAGTATTAAAAATATTTAACATTAAGGTGGACAACAGAATAAATTGTTTAACCCATTTATATTTATTTAATATAACTGATGATTTTATTTATATGATATTTTCTCTTTGATGTCACCATGCTGTTTTCTTGTTTACTTTCTGTTGCCACTTTGCTGTATGAATTTTTACTTTTTCTTTTATATTATTTATATTCAATACCAGATATTTGAAAATAAGTATTACTCTCCTATTCTTGATTTGTTAAATTTTATTTTATCCTTAGCTCATTAATTTTATCTATTTATTTATTTTGTTAAGAACCAGTGAGTAGTACATTTTGTGAACCCTTGTATTAAAAAACAAAAAAAACTTGTTTGTTAGGTGAAAACCCTGATTCCACAACATCTTCCCTTCAAATCTTTGAAGGCTTTAGTCCATTTTTCCTTGATATTTCATGCTGCAAAGAATAAGCCTAGGCCTAGACTGATTTTATTCCTTCTTAATCTGTTTGTGCTGAATGGATGCTTATAGAATTATGTTTTATTTAAATGTACATTTCAATTTGCCATGTTTTATCTAAGTATAGGGTTTTTTTCCCTAAATTTTGAAATCAACTCTTTCTAACTCAAGGTTTTAATCAACATCAGAAAATCACATTTTCATGCCTTTGATTGTTGCTTCTTGTATGATTGTTTTGGTCTCTTTCAATGGTACTTATAATTATTAGGTTACATCACTTCAGATGAGTCCTTATCATACCTTGGTGACTTTTCATCTGAACTTTTTATCTTTGTATCTCATCCTGTTGTTCTTCATTCTTTTCCTGGTCTATCCTGATGGCTTTCTGTTTCTTAGAAATTTTGCTTATTGAATACTACTTAAACTTACAAAATAGATTTCTATAAAATCCTCCAGGTAGCTGTAATTCTCATTATTCAAATTACTGTGAAATGGCAGGATGACATTCTCTTTCCTTATTTCTATAGTTTGTTTTTTGTTATTTTTGTTCTTCTTTTGAAGTCTTGGTACTGATTGGTATTGATTTTTTTTTTTTTTCCTTAAGACATCATGGAGGACTTGGGTTTTTTCTTATCCTTGAAAATATTTTTCTGCCCACTTTCAATTTGGTTGCTGTTTGAATCTCTTTCTTAGATCTAGAGGGCAGATCCATGTGCATAATTTCTAAACCAATTTTCAGTGTCTAGTCATTTTTACTGAGTATAATTTCTCTGGATGAAGGTGTAACCTTCTCCTATCTGTGCTGATTGGATTTACAATGCTTTGAGTCGACTAAGTGTATGAAAATGTGCCACACTCAGCATGCATATCTTTTAGAGATCTTATTGCCTCTATCATTATCCCTATACTTTTGGCAATTTCATTTTTGACAATGCAATACACTGCCTCTAATTTCTTTCCACATTCTGCCCTGTTGTTTCTGAGGGATATGGAAATCCAGCAAAGGAGAGGCAAAGAAACACTGATCTAGTCACTTCCACAAATGATATTTGTGTATTACAGGGATACATTTTTATTCTCATTGGTATATATAGACTATGGGATCAACAATCAGGGACAGGAAAATTGGTTTTCTATTATCTTTCTGTGAAATAGAACTGCTTTGTTTTATGATGTAAAGTGCATGTCAGGCACAAATTATTTTTATTAATCCTTTGCAATCTACTCTATAGACAGTAGAAATACTAGATTCTAGCAATAGGTGACCAGTCAGAATAAATTTTCAGAGTAAAGCTCTCATCTTTAATATATATATGTATATATACATATAAAATGTATGTGTATATGAAGTACATATTTCTATATATTTTAGGGGCTTTTGAAAGAGAATGTCTTAATCTGTTAGACTAATACATTTAAATAGGAAGCTTCAGGATATTTCCAGTTTTAAATCTTACCTTACCATGATATACAGGAACATGGATTAACTCAGTGCCAATTGGGAGATATATATATATCCCAAGTAGCAAAAGCAGGTACAAATGGATCATGTCTATATTTCTATGTTCTCTCTCACTTACCTAATACTAGGGAAAGTTTAACTTCATCTCCTAGCTACAACCCAATGTTCTACTCTTGTCAGCTTCCTAAATTAGAAACAGTGGTAAAGAGCAAATAATCCACTTCTCTATTTCTAGTCTTGCAGCCTCAAACTAAATAGATGATGGCTACATAGAGTCATGATTAGGAATAGAGATATGTTGAGTCCAGACCAAGCTTGCACACTTCTCACGTACAGTCCTTCCCTGGTATCCAGATGCAAGAGATTGATTCTAGGACCCCCAGAGGTACCAAAATCTGTGGATGCTCAAGTCTCTTATGTAAAATGGTGTAGTCTTTGCATATAACCTACGCACATCTTCCCATATACTTTAATCATCTCAAGATTACTTACAATACTTAATACAATGTAAATGGTATGTAAATAGTTGCCAGTGCATGGCAAATTCAAGTTTTGCTGTCGGGAACTTGCTAGAATTTTTAAAAAATATTATCAACCCACAGTAGGTTGAATCCTCAGATGTGGAACCTGGGGATAACTGTACAAGTTCTTAATCTCATTGAGTTTCAGACTTCTCACTGATAAAATGAAGGTAGAGTGGTGGGGAGATTGGATGAGATAATGTACATAAGGAACCAGGCAAATAGTAACTTCTCAATTAATAATAATTTTTATTTCTTTCTGAACTTGTTTCTCCCTCTGATATTTATTCAAAGAAAAAAAAATTCCCTTCAGTACCAAAGAATAGAAAGGTCCCCTTCTACATTTCTTATTAGGAAAAAAAAGTAAGTATTAAATGAAAGGGCAGAAAATAAGATCAGGGTTACTATTATTCAGTGTATCCTATTTGTTGTTAACATCTCATTTCTGATTTCATTTCTGGCTGGTAACTCAATATGTATATTAGTCTTATTTGTGGGGATTTTTTTGAATTATAAAAATTAGGAGAGAAAGGAAACTGCCTATATGGCAAATATAGACTCAAATTTACTGCCTGCCGATGCAGGGGACACGGGTTCATGCCCCGGTCTGGGAAAATCCCACATGCCGTGGAGTGGCTGGGCCCATGAGCCATGGCCCCTGAGCCTGAGCGTCCGGAGCCTGTGCTCCACAACGGGAGAGGCCACAACAGTGAGAGGCCTGTGTACCGCAAAAAAAAAAAAAAAAAAAAAAAAAAAAAAAAAAAAAAAAAAAAAAAATATATATATATATATATATATATATATATATATAGAGAGAGAGAGAGAGAGAGAGAGAGAGACTCAAATTTAATTTATTTTTTAAAAGATCAGGTTAATCTTTTCCCACATCAACGGAATGCTCTTAAACATAGAAATTACAATCATCATATCACATCTTTGTAATTAACCATATCATAAATTTTTTGAAAATAAGGATTGATTTTATCTCTTTTGTGTCAGTCTTTTCACATAGCATACTTGTGAACCTGTTACAGCTAAAATCATTACCCTTCTGGATACACAACATTTTATTTCCATATTAAAAATATTTCATCATATTTCAATACTGATATTTAAATACATCTGATTATACTTTTAATCATTTAAGTTTCTTTGTTTACCATCAAGTCAACTAGAGACATTAGGGTCTAACGCACCAGTTGAGGTATAAAGGTATGATTCTGTTTGTTGTGGCACTAGCTGTTCTTTTATGATCTATCTCAGACCCAAGATTTTTTTTATCAGGGTGTGTAGAGCAAGGTAGGAGTACAGTGATTGGCTTCTGGAAAAGATGTGTTGATGGGTGCTGAACATGAATCAGAGGGCTTGTGGATAGTACTGAGTAGGAAGTATCTTGCTGAGTTTTTAAATATGCCACCAGAGATGGGTCAATTGGTTGGACCTATACAAAGAAAAAATAGATATATATTCCTATATTTTAATAGCAGAAGATACAAAGTATCAGCACATTTCTAAGTCAATTTCCTGAAAATTTAATAGAACATAGTTTTATACATTTTTCTCTACATTGTTAGCTGGAATCTACACTATATTAATTTATAAAAGATCACAGGATTTGGTCTTCTTTTTGCAAAGTCTTTCTGAAATCTAGGTTCCTTGCTCTATGTTATAAATAACTGAGAAACACTCTTAACTGTAGGCAAAAAAATGACCTAGAAAACAAAATAGACATTTTATATAATTTCTAATTAGAACTATTGTTAGATCAAGTGATCTTCAGAAACTAGAAAAACAAGACTATATTTATTTGTTTCCTCTCACATAAGAATGGCTGATAAAAATAGCTAACATGATTCCAAAATTTCAAAGTTTATGGAAAATATTCTTGAATAAATTGTACATAATATGATTTCTTCCTAACTTTTCTTCTTTGCTTACCACTTATGGTAAGAACTGGGAGAAACTAGGAGAGCATGAGGGAGAGTTAGGCTAGAAGGAAATATTGAGGAAATATGTCTTCTAAAATGTACATTGATATGTCATTGTACACCTTGTAAATAATGTTTGTATGTATTAAATTCTCATCCCAGAAAAGTACTGTTTAATAATTAAATATAACCAAATATTTACAATCATAAGTATTTTAATTGATTAACCTTTCTTTTAACCATCCTCTCAGGTGGAAAGCTTGAATCATACGAAAGTCCCAATGTCTGGCATTAATTCTATCATAGATACTCAACATTTGTTTTTGTCAACAAATATCATAAATAAGACAACACAAAAAATTAGCAAGAAAAAGCTTTAAAATAAGGCAGGGATTTATTTTGGAATGAGATTTAATATGCTCCAAATCATCACTATATCAATGATGACACTGTAAGTTAGGTTATTAAAAGTATAAGAATTCATTTACTGTTATATTAAATATTTGTATCTTCTCAATCCTTTTCGGATGATGTTTGATGACCCACAAAATCTAGGAGAAGAAACTCACCAGTTTTTAATATTTACCTTTAATTGTACAAGTACTGGTGAGCTGAAAACTCCTGGAGGGTGATTTAAGGATATTTGAGAATCCATGCTTGGCTTAAGAGTAAGGCCTTTCTTTGTTACTGTCAAGGACTCTTTCTTTAAACAAGACACAACAGAAAAGATACCCAACTTATAAACTTTCACTTCAGCACAGGTCACCTGTGTGGATTTAAGGACATTAAGACAATGACATTAAAGGACATTAATAGTGCATTGCTCTGGAAGTACATGCTGTACATATTCTCTGGCTATGGGAAAAAACAACAACTATATGCTGTCCCTGTAACCTCCCACAATTGAGAATTACTTCATTAACCCCAAATGGATGGCCCTTTCGTGAGATCAAGTAGAAGTAGGTACTAGGAGTTTCTCAAATTTGAACTACATGATAGAAAAGAGAGAAATAAATGTATTTTTAAATTTAAATTATTCCCCACAAAAGGTAAACGGATAATGGGCAATCACATTTAGTGTTTTCACAAATATTAATTATATTTGGAATCCTATCCTGGACTTGGACTTTAAATATTGCCCTTTATCCAGAAGATTTAACAATGTTTTAGGAATTCCAAGGACTGAAAAATTTCATCATTTGGGTAGTTTACACAAATCCTACAGCACTTATACTATCAGCAAATTCTTCCTGCTGACAATTCACAATCTCTTGATAAAGTCATTTTCTCTATTTCTCTCTTCCATGCAGGGGGAGCAGATGATTGCAAAGAGACACATTTGTGTTTCTTTTTTATATAGTGACATTTAAATTTGGAATGCATATATGCAGGGACATATTCAAGCTTTTTTATCACAAAAAAGGAATTGAGTACATAAATGAAAACAAAATTATCTACTCATATAATCACCAAAGCTTAAAATGAAGAGGAAGACTTAGAAGTAATCTGGTCTATTCATGCTTCCCTAAATATCAGCTGGGCTCCACCCAGGCATGAGAGGATATTCATGAAGACACACACACAAACATTTCAGGGACAGTAACAATGGAAAATAATCTATCATTTGAAAACTGATTAAGGAAGAGATTTCACAATATCTTGTCATGAATCCATTGTTGGGAAAATTCAGGGCATGATGGATGTTCTTAATTGGCCAGAGGGAAAATGGTGAGAGGTAAGAAAGAAAGGTTTTCTGGGAACTCATTATGGTTGCCATGCAGTTAGAGTACATTTGGTAGGTTCTGGGGAAATGGAAGGGTTTTTAAGCAGGGGAGTGTCAAGAGCAGAACTCTGATGATGGTTTGTCTGACTCCAGAATTAGAATTCTTAAATGTTGTATGAACCACATAAAAATTTGGAAGGAACCTAGAGTTTAAATTTTCTTGAGCTAAATATAGGGATAACAACCATTAGAAAACTATGAAAGAAAAATATATGCTTTTATTTTTTTCAGTAGACAATGGCTCTCTTATTTTTTTCTTTTGCATTTTCTATTTACTAATCATCTTGTATACCCATTTGGTGAAAAGCATATGTGCTATGAACTGTTTTTGTTTTTATTATGATAGTCACACAGATGGGTCAAGATTAAAAAGCCACACGTAAGGGCAATGATAACTAGACTATTATACTTACAGACTTCCTAGACTAAATATAAAATGTTTTCTTTGCATGAATTGGCATAATTAGAACAGGCTTAGTTTTCATATTCAACTGTATAACTTTGTTTGTAACTCAGAAAAGACCCAAATCAGAAGAGATAAATTAAAAAGAATTGTTTGCATGTGTGGCTTTTTTTTTTTTAACATTTATTCCCTGCTCTCTTCTGCAAATAATGATATAAAGATGAAAACTTATATAAAGCTGAAAAGACAAATATTTTAATTATTTAAAAATAAGTTCAGTGATCCACAGAAGAACCTTAAACTTTAACTCCCATCAACTCTATGCTAAGTTTGATAATTATGTATATATTCTTTCTTCAAAACATATGAACTTGTCACCATGGATGGCTTGAGAGTTATTATAAGAAAGTTTACCATGAAAAAGATAATTTATTAACTACTAACATGTGTTTATAGACATCCTTTTATCTTCTTAAGTGTTTTTTCTCATTTAATCCTTATTACCCTATCAGGTAGACACTATTATTGTATTCATTTTTTAGATGAAAATAATTGAGTCATATCAAGGTTACATAATTTACTCAAGTTCACATAGCAGGAAAGTGTAGGAACCAAACTTCAGACCCAGCCAATCTTCCGCGACAACCCACATCCTAACTACCACATACACTGTTTTCCATGTACAGACTAATAACTAGACTTAATAACTGTCTCAAGGCATACACACACACACACACACACACACACACACACACAAATTGTTGTTTTTACATATTTTTCCAACCCATGAATGATAAAAATAAAGCTAACGTCATCTGGGGATCCTAGAATTCTTAAATTTAGACAGAGGTCCATCCCATTAGAAATGTTAGTCTAAAGCTAGTCTAAGGTGTAAAGCTAATTAAACCATGATGTTGGCTTTGTTTCCCAGGCAAAAATATAACACTTGCTGGGTCCTAGACTCAAGTTCTTCACTCCCAAATTTGACCAATAAGCTCTGCTCTTTTATCTTTATGGATAGCAAAACAAAACAAAACAAAACAAAAACACATGAATTCACCGGCATAAATCTTGTCAACCCTTCCATTTTATACCAATGGAGTAATTGTATCTGTATTATGATCTGGTAGTCTGAGTAATAGTTAGAAGTCAAACAGCAAATGTATGTGTAGTCAAGGATTTACCAACCTTGTAACTTCCTCTCATTCCTTCCAGTGAATTTGGAGTCAGGTAACTTGATTGAAGGTCTACATCAGACACTTTCACCATGATGTCTGTAATTTCCCCTGTAACGTTCAGTAAATGGAATTGCAATGCATATTGGAAATGGAATTCTCTTTTCCATATCTGAGCACTCTACAGTGATAACATTGCTGACCAATTCTTCATTATCACTCACTATTAAAGAACTCATGCTATTAATTATCCAGCATTCTAGATGTTGTAGAACATAGGATGGTGCTGTAATATAACAAGACACTTGGGTGACAGTATCATCACTCAGCACATCAAGATACCTGCAGGGGAAAAAAGGACATCATTTTTTCAAATATTTGATTTATAGACTGTATAGTGAAATGCCTAAGAGCACAAGCTCTAGAGACACGTTGTCATGGTATGAATCCCTGCTCTCCCACTTAGTAACTCTGTGACCTTGGGCAAGATACTTAACCTCTCTATGCCTCAGTTTCCTCAACTGTAAAATAATGATAAAATAATACCTATCTCATAGGAAGACTGAGAATTAAATGAACTATTATATAGTAAGTAATTAAAAAGCTGTGCCTGGCACTTAGAAAGTACTATATATATTAAGCTATTGTTACTATTGTTATTACTATTAATATTTAAGCAGACGATTCATTCCTGTTTTGTTCACTTCAAATATAAATCTGAAGATTGCTGAAGCTTCTTGATAAACCAAGTACTAGTGCCTGAATAGTTTTCTAAATTTTGAGGAAAGGTATAGATATGGTACTGGAATTATTTATTACATTTTTAAGAAAAATAGAGAAAGGTACAAAAGTACTGTGAATGTATGTTTAATCAAAGTAAATAGAAACAGAATATTTACAGTCCTCAAAGAATCAATCCAAAAACTGATTTTGACAATTGGTTTTACTCTTGCTTTTTGTACCATCACCTTTGCCTAAGATTTTAGTCTTATAGATTTGAATTCAGTTTTGAGATCAGTCACTTACTATTTGTTTGACCTTTAACATCAACTATTATTATTAAAATAGCTAATATTTTAGCTCTTTCTATGTACCAGGTTTTAGGCTATACATTATTTCATTCAAATCCTCACACCATGGGTATGAGGTACTACTCACCCATGGGCAGGTAGTACTGTCATTACTATTTTACAGATAAAGAAACTGAAGTTTAGAAATTTTAACTTGCTGAGGATCACACAGATGGTAAGTTGTAGAATCAATAAATGAGTCCATCTATCTTTAACACAAAAGCCCAAACTTTCTAATATAATATCATACTTCCTCAAATCATTCCAAAACACTGGTTTCTTTATCCATTACAAACTGAAATGAATACCAGATTCACAATAATGTGAGGATTGAATGAGATAAAATATTTCAACCTCTTACAGTAGTGGGTTAACATAAATGAGTGTTCAATAAATGTTAGCTCTCTATATTAAAACTACCAGCTTGCATTTCCTCTCTTCTCGCTATTTCTCATTTCATACCAGTGAAATGATTGAAGTATAAACAATGTCAAAGAGAAATAAGAGGATCTTTATAAAATGCAGCATTAATATCAAGTTCTAGAATAATCAGCTTTTAATTATTTTTCAATTAGTAAATTGAATGCTATAGTGCCCCTTAACACAGAAATCTAGAAAATATGTTGAAATTTCAGGGAGGGTTATTTATTTATATTTACAATTCTGAACCCATAAAGTTAAAAGGAATAGAAAATTATCCAGCACATGGGTCTGTTTGAGTCTTCTCTGATCATGGTGATAAAGGTATTTCAGAAAATTAGATACATTGTTTAATATAGGATACAATGATCCAGTCTTTTTCTAAATCATCATAGCATTACTTTATTCATAAATTAATTTAAATCTTTAATATCATAAAATAGACAGTGTTCAAATTTCCCATTGTTGTTTTTAATTAGTTTCTTTTATCTGAATCCAAATAAAAGCCACAAATTGCAGTCAGTAGGATGTGTGTTTACATCTTTTGCATTATATGTGTTTCCCCTCAATTTCTTCTGTCTTCCTTCCTCCCTCCTTTCCTCCTTCCTCCCTCCCTCTCTCCCTCCCTTCCTTCCTTCCTTTTGGTCTTACTCTCACTCTCTTGGTCTCTTGCTCTCAGGCTGGGGGAATACTACAGATCCAGTCTTGTATAACTTCAAAAACGACTCTCTTTTGTGCCCTGGAAACCCAACTCAATACACTCTTCTTGCAAAAGACTGACAGATGAAGTAGGGCAAGGGGCCCTGTAAATGCTTCCATTTCCCCTAGACCTAATCAAATAGATCTAGTCCAGTCACTAAAATAATCACATTGGTTTATTCTAGTGTCGTTTCCCTTTGTATACACTAAGACAACTACCCTGGAAGAGATAGGCTTTTTTCAAAACACTCTCCAGGGAGGAATCACGACAGATTGTGAGCTAGGTTTTATTTATGACTCTCATCTTTCTTGTGGCATGATGGCTTCCTAGCCTGAGGAATTGCAATGAGTAGTCATCTTCTGAAACATGCAAGCCAAGCAAAATTGGTTTTCATGCCACAAAGAGGAAATCACTAACTAGGAAACACCTAAAGGAGGTGTTAGAGGGAGTGGTTCAGCAATGACTCATTAGTTGATGCTTTGAGTCATTTCTGAATGTGAGGATATGAAGTGTTAATGTTTTTCTCAAGCGAAATGGGCAACCGCATATTGACTACTTTCATAGTTGTTTTGCAGGGGCAGTAAGCCTTTCACACCGGGGGGGGGTCTTTCACGGGTTAAATATTACTCCTGTGACACCTATAGAATTCATTAGATTTTCAGACATGCAGGAAACCTTACAGCTAAACCAGCTCAACCTCTTCATTTTATAGATGAGACAACTAAGGTCAAAGCGCGCAAAATGACGTGCCTGAGATCATAGACTCATTCATTCTGTTGTCCTGGAAATGGTATTGTATTCTGAAAGAGCAGACACGGGGTAAGTGAAGTTTGGCGGTGTGTGGGAGTGGAGAACGTGAGGGTTGTTGGGGGTGAAATAAATCAACATACTAATATTTAGCTGAGAGTGAACATCTGCCAAACAACAAGGCGCTAGGCCCTTCAGGTGATTTTCTCATTTGACCTTACCAAATAATCCCAGCAATAATTTCTATAAATAAGAAAATGGGGCTAAGAAATGAAACAAGTTGCCCAGGGTCACAGAACTAGTAAGTAATAAAACAGGAGATAAATATAAGTCTGTCTCCCAAACCAATGATTTTTTTTTTATTCCCCATTACCTTCTAAGGGTCTTAATTTTACTGTGAAAATATGGCTTGTGAATATTTTATTTTATTTGGACAATTATGGATTATTATCCCCTTGTATAGGGGAGATAATTCACAAAATAGATCAGTCAGTTTCAACATATTTTTTCGAAGTCATGGGCTCTTTGAGAATCTGGTGAAAGCTCTGGACCATCTCCAAGGAGATAAAATAGGTGTGAAAATATACATTCAATTTTAGGAACCTCCCGAAGCTTATCCATGAGCCCTCCCAGAGTTCTTAACCCACGGGTTAAGAATTTATGATGATTTATAAATCAGATAAATGTGAGAATTCATTTGAGGATATAAATAAAATAAATCTGAGGCTTGGAAATTCTCTTCTAATATTTGAACTCTGCAGTCTCCTAGTTTTTTCTTATGATAATCTAAAGAGTAGTGATTTAGGAATGTGTCCATGTTCTCGACAATTGTCCATTTTAACTACTTTCTTATACAGTCAATTCTTTCTTCCTTTAAAGAAACCTTTAATATTTTTCCTGAAACTATAAGAAACAATATTATTAATAGCAGCCATAAACATTTCTATGGGAGTAATTTAAACTGAATTATTGATTTGTAATATCTTTTGGAGATCTGAAATGTATATATAAAATTTTATTCATGTATAAATATTGTTTTATATACAAGTAGAAACACACATATAAGCAGGCATATACAAGCACCTCTCACATTGTATTTACTCACTCCTTTTCCATGATGTTATGCTTTTGCTTTAGACTCTCTGAATCACTGGGAAGAGGACTATTCACATAATTACTGGAGATATCACATGTTGTTGAGGATGTGGTAATCTCTTCACTTTGGCTTTCTGAGGTCTCTTGAATTTCTCTTTCTCTTGTCTGGATTATGTCATGCATCTCTTCCCTGTTGCTATTTATGTTCTCAACAGTCATGTGTTCTATTTGTTTATCATCTTCATTTTCTGCATTATCTGGGAACATTTTGTTCTGTGACTCTTCTTGCCCTGTTACATCTCCCTTCAATGATGTATTGTTTTATTTTCCCACTAGTTCTGAACTCCTATGTATTTTTTTTTTTTAACTGAACCTGGTTTGTGTAATGACTTTCCTCTCCATTTGTGGGAGAAACAGTAGCTGTTTCTATGACATTTTGTTCCCCTCTTGCAGCAATGCCTGTTGCTTTGATATCTTGAATGGTGGACATTGTCTGCAGTGGAGTACATTCATCATGCATGCCGCATAAATTACACATCTCCTTTTCTTCTTTCTTTAGAAATGTAGCAGTGCTCCCCAAATATTACTTCTTTTCATGAGGCAATCTATGAATGCAATGATTTCTACACACACATACACACAGAGACACATTAAAAAGAGTAAATACAAAACTAAACCAAATTATGTTTCTCCACTGACATGTAATGAAATATGGAGAAATTACCCTAGAAATCTACAAAGACCCTTACTAGGCTTTTAAGCCTACCTCCCTTCTGAAGAAGTCATTTGCACAACTGTAATTCTTTTAACACATCTAGAAGTTGGGGATAAATTGCTTTTTAACATAGTAGAAAAGACTAAATCTAATCCCTCTTGCTTGTGAAAATGCTTTGAGTATTTGCAGAAAGGTATCATGACCCCCATCCATAAGATGCCATTCAAATGAAGCCAATATCTCCCTCAGTCATTCCTCATTTGGTATGATTCTGAGAATTGTTTTTCTTCTTTGGATGTACTATGCAGTTTATCAATGATCCACATATAATTATTCACCTAAAGTTTAGCAGAGCTCTCCAGATGAGACTTGGGTAGCAGGCATACCAAAGCTACATTATTTCTGCTGATGCAGATGCTGTATTTTATTGGGTACTTTGTTTGCTATTATGATTGGATTAGGTTTATACTACTTCTCCTGCTGGACTTGTGATGACTGGAAATTTTCAAATGAATCTTTCAAAAATAGCTCTAATTATATCAATTCTCTGATTAGAACCTGGCTACTCAAGGACTAATAAACCAAGTGAAGCCTCTTTGCTCTGGTGTAAACCGTCACCATGATCTGATCTGATATAATCTCTCACTCCATCCCCATTTCTTATTATTTTCCTGTTTGTTCATTCCTCCTCTCCTCACAGCTGGGGTCACCTGATGGCTTCTTACAGGCTTAGCAACTCTGCAATCTTTAGAATTCAATTCTGAACTCAAGAATATGTAATTTAAGGCCCTATAGCTCAGTGTTTTCAAAATCATCAGTAAATCATCCTTTAACTAGTCTAGCCTTATCATTGGGCTCCAGTTCTGACAACTTGTTTTTTTGTCTTGTATCTGAGACTCTGTCTTTATTTTGAACTCCTATTCCGGTAGCTGAGTCATCATCATTTTCCATGAATGATCATTTGTGTTGCCTAGGACCACATTCAGTTCTCTCCAGAGATTCCATTCCTGGCTATGAGATCCAGCTGATGGTCTCTAGGTCATGCTGCCTTTGGACAGATTTCCCTCATGTCCACAGTCTGCCCTCTAGACTGAATTTCTTAACGTTATCTGGATTCCTGATTATGAGACCTGCCTGCTTGCCTTGACACTACATTATTTAGAGTTAGATTTGATGATGCCACCTATCTTCTTATCTAGAGTAACTTGTTGTTGTCTGAGATCATAGACATCAGATACCATGTTCTTCCTGCCATGCTGTATTTCGCATCCATAACTGGCCCTATTCCCAAGAACCTGCACCGCACTTCGTGTGTGTGGGGGGTCTAATTTCATATCCCATCCCATCCCATTCTTCCCAGTGTTTTTTCAATTAACAGGTTCAAGTTCAAATAAGTCTAAAAATAGAGTATCATACGCCAATATGAAAAAACTGCTTGTCCTGCCTCACACTAATCCTATATTTTCCTACTTCTAAGTGTTGGGTCCTACTAATAACATCTCTGCTGGAATGCTCTTTAAGGCACCCAGTTTCTGGCTGCATAAATCCAATTCATTCCTTAAGCTTCAGGTTAGTTACTGCATTTGTGCTAGTGAAATTCCCCACTCTAAAAATGGAATCTCACCTATTTCTGAAGACTTAACGCATTTCATTTTTATGTCTCTAATGGAATTAGCTTCAATGTCCCTTGCATTATTGTGCAATTGCCTTAACTGATTTCCCATGTTAAATTGTTAGTCCCTTGTGGACAGAGACTCTATCCTGGTTTTTGTACGCTCCTTAGCGCTCTCACAGTGGCTACTCAATCAATATTTCTTAGAGAAAGAATAAAGGAAATACTTGCCTTGTCTCCAGGTACAATAATTCTCTTTGTCAAGCAGTACATACAGCTGCTGTTAGGTGGAGCACAGAGTCCCTGCAGTATGTTCCAAGAGTTGGTGAAGGGCCTCACTGAGTTCTTGACCCAGAAAGACCACTGTGGCTATCCAAGTGGCCCCGCCAGCCCCTTCACAATGGTCTTCACCCAGGAGCTCCTGCTTTAGCATCAGGTTTTGTCTCCAAATCTGCTTCAATATTTGGCCTAGTTTACCTGAGCCTATGTCTTCTGTATCCATTTTATGCTCCACAGGTGGGATGTTTTCTAACAGCAAAGCCTAAAGGTTTAGCAAATTCAAGCTTGGCTGTGGTTTTTTTCTTCTAAAATCTAGGAGATGATCCAAGTCAGCTAGCCAAGCACTTTCCTGCAACATAATAGTTTATTCAGCTTCTTGTTGACCAGTGAAAAGTTACTAGGTGACCAAAGGAGGGGCGTTCCTGCACCATGGGTGCCACTGTGTACAGAATAGATTAACCACAGGGATGGAGTTACCTCACACAATCCCACTTTCCATGTAAGTTTTACACTTTCGATGTACTATGGAAGCCTCATATACTTTTCAAGTTTTGAGGCAACAAAATATGGATTCTGTGGTAGGATGAGGAGTATATTAATCAAAGGTGAACTCTTTTAATAATACTGCTAATAACTATATGAAACTCAAAAATACTTATGGGGCTTCCTTGGTGGCGCAGTGGTTGAGAGTCCGCCTGCCGAGGCAGGGGACACGGGTTCGTGCCCCGGTCCGGGAAGATCCCACATGCCGCGGAGCGGCTGGGCCCGTGAGCCATGGCCGCTGAGCCTGTGCATCCAGAGCCTGTGCTCCGCAACGGGAGAAGCCACAACAGTGAGAGGCCCGTGTACCGTAAAAAAAAAAACAAAAAACTTATGAATGAACTAATATGTTGTCTGAATTGCTTCAAAAGAAGCTGGGAGTGTGGGAGCAGTGTATAGATGAAATAAGTTTGGCTGTAAGTTAATAATTGTTGAAGCTGGATATGGTTACATGTGGGGGTCTTTACAATTCTCTCTAGTTAGCATAGAACATTTTTATAATAAAGAATTTTAAAAATATTACTCTGCTGGAGCAGAGTCTGTTACCACTCTGCTCTGTTAGGTTAATCAGTACCTTCTTCTATGGCAGGTCTGCAGTGAGATCGAGATAGGTACTTGGCCTCTTTCCTCTCTGATCATTTCTCTCTAATTGGGTAAAATGCTCCTCCACGAACAGAAAGCAAATCTGGAGAGTGGCTTTCTCTGAACTAGCAAGGAATCTTCACCATGTGTAATTAAAATATAGTCACAGCACGTTCTCACGGCTGCTGGCCCCTTCGTCGGCACATTTTATATGACACCATGGCGTCACAGGACCTGATACCGGGCGGAGCCCCGGAGTCCGCAGAGGAACCCAGAGCAGCCTGCTTCTTCCTCTGCAATCCCCTCCTCTCATAAGGGAGAACACGGCACCGGAGGGAGAGGGCCGTGCATTCCGGACGGGCTCATGTTCTCTCGGGGGCACTGAAATGAAATGAAAGCTCCCAAAGCACAGCCCGAATCCCTCCTGCCCACAGCCATCACCTTATCTCATCTTAAGCACTGGGCCTCTTAGAGCCACACTCAAGACACCTGAAAGAGGAGACGGGGAAACACAAACCCAGTGAATAAGGAATAGAAAACGAATGCCACCACAGGCGTAAAATACTGCCCAAGCTGCTTTTGGTCTGCAGAGGCTGAAGGAAAAGGAAAGGAGCGGCGGTACGAAGAGGGGTGGTGAGGGTGAGGTTCGGGGTGCGGCCTCATTCTCTAGTGGAAATCTTATTTTTCAGTGACCTCTGTTCCTTTAGTGCCTGAAATATATGTGTAATTCGCATTATAATGCATACGTGGCTTTAATTTGATGCTGATTCTGAAAATTTTCTGTAGCATGTGCTGTGGGCCAGGCACTCTCTACATGCTGGGAACTTCAGAGAGACTTCGGAGAGAAGCAGGCACCTGAAAAGATGACTAAAATCAGCTCAGACTGTGTTGAGAGCTAGAACAGAAGTATGAATTAAGAGTATCACCAAAGCTTTGAGGAGTAAAAATTTCATTCGGATTGGAGGCCTGGGAGATGTTTAAATTAGGAGCTAAATGATGAGCAGGATTTGAGCAGGCTTGACAACAGAGGGAAGGAACATTCCAGATAGGAAATAATATCATCAAAGGCAGGGAGGCAGGAAATGGCACCGTGTGAACAAAAAGGGAAAAGGATGGCTCTAGAAGAGGGTTTATAAGTCTGGGAAGTGGCAAGAGAAATAATTATGGAGAGTCAGGAGGAGAAGCTGGAATTTTGTTTTGCAGACAAAAGAGAGAAATTACATATTTTTGAACCAAGTAAATATATAGCCAAATCTATGCTGTAGGAATGCAGATGGTTTAAATGGTAGAGACACAAGAATTAAGTGACTTGAGGGCCCATATTAGAGCAACAACAGTGCAGGCAGGGGAAGGGGATGCTTTGAGAGGGGATTCGAAGTAGAGTAACCAGAACTTGCTAAATCATCAGTTAGAGGAAAAGGAATAGAAAGCACTGAAAAGCCATTCATTTATTTATTTGAGAAATATTTATTGGCTGCTGGTATAGAACTGTGCTTGTTCTATATGGAGTATAACTAAAAATTTTGGTTTAGGTGACTGAACAGATGGTAAAGCAACTGAGTTGAGGAATTTAGAAAAAAAAACATTCAGCTTGATTGATAGGTAATTTGACTAATTTTGGATTTGTTGTGTTTTAGATACACAGGGCAATTCTTTGGAATATGTTAGAAATTTAGAAGTCAGAATAATATTGGCACATTTGAATGTCATCAGTCAATAGATAGTGAATGTATCCCTATCTGGAAATAGAAGGGATTGATGGGGAATTTACACCATGTACATTTTAAGTATT